TTCATGGGAACAGCCAGTTGTGGCACAGTGTGCTTGGCAATGCGAAGGTGCACCTTGCAAAGGGCTGGTGGGGAGAAGAGAAGGGCTCAGTGCACTGCCTACGAAATGGAGCAGATGGGCTCTGCCCTCGATTCACCTGTATGAATCATTGTGTTCCCCAGAAGTCCAACTCCTTGCTGAGAACTTAAATAAGGACTGCATTTTTTTAAAGTAATCATCTTTGAGGGCTGATTAACATGGTCTTACCACAATGATTTGGAATCATCCTGTGATGAAATCCACATAAATTGTGTATATTATTATTATTATTATTATTATTATTATTATTATTATTATTATTATGGTAAGCAGGCTCTGTGCCACAAAACCTTGGAGCTTGGCATTCCGTAATATTTCTAAAATACTGTCTGTCTTGAATATAGAAGACGTGTTTGTGGCACAGTCTGTTTTGAACCTCCTTGCCCTTATCCTCTTGAAATTAACCAGAGTAGTGCCAAACATGCAACTCTGCAGTTTACCCTTCCTTCCAAATCCCTTGCATAGTTGACTGCTTTTCTAAAGTGGGGTGTGCTATTTTGTATCCAGGCATTGTGTTGTTCTCCTTATGTGCAGGTGACTCCTATTCGATGGCAGCGCATACCTGCAAGTTTTTTAATCTTAAAAACTGTGATCTCAATAACTAGGTTTTGATTACATTCATTTTGTCAAATGTTGTTATATTCTGGATAAGAAACGTGCATGGTTTTGTTTTGATTTGTTTTTTGTTTTGCTTTCCTCATCATTTGTTTGTTCAGTGCAGCATGGAATTTAATAAAATGTCTTGGACTTTTTTAAAAAAATAGCACTGTTTGAGGTTTTCTTCTTCCCAAATGATGCTGGTGTAACCTGTTGAAAGCTAAACGGTCCCGATCCAAGGTAGGCACGCTCCCATGTCTGCCAAGAGGTCCAGGGGAAGCCACTATGCAGGCAAAGCCACTTCACTAAGCTGGAGCTGGAGGGCTGCATCTTCAGCTGCCAGCTTGGCGGCGTTGCCTCTCCTGCATCTTCACCTCACTGGGACGAGGCGCTGGACGGGTGTCCAATGGTAGAACCCTCCTCTTGATACACTCACCGAGAATGGAATGACATCAGTGGAGAAGGCTGCAGCCCATGGCGTCATTCAGCCCATGGATGTCTGAGTGGGTGGTCCTTTGGCTCCCCCCACCCCCGTCCTGGTTCTCCTTCCTGCTCTGTGTTGGCTGGATTCGGATAGGAGTCTCTCTCAGTCCTACCTCATGGTGTGGATTCTGTACGCAGAGCTTGTGCTCTCCCGCTGAGCTACCATCTTTCCACACAATTGCTTTAGAAATCAAAGGCACGAGTGTAAAAGGTCAAGGCAGAAGCAAGCCCTTGAAGGTTCCGCACAAGGAGATGGGCTGTGTTATGAGCCTTACTGGAACACATGGGAGCAGAAGAGAAGGAAAGTCCATTGCAGGAAAGCCACGGGTCCTTCGGAGGTGAACAACGTCCCTCGAGTCTTGCACGTATTCAGTCAGTCATATCAAGCCATTAGCAGGAGGATTGTTTTTAGCTGCACTGCAGACAGCCGAACTATAATTATGGGGTGGCTACAATAGCAAACTGTTTCCATCTGTTCAGTTAAACCTATGGGGAAAATCCATCTTGTCCTCCTGCTCCATTTTCTGAAGTAGCAACTTGCAAATACAAAGGTTCATTGTGTTCCTAGTAGAGCTAATTAGCTACTTGAAGCCCTCTTTTTCTAGAAAAAAATCTTTGCATGTCAAGAAAGCCTGCGGGGCTCTTGGAGAGCACTGAGGGATGCCTTTCAGGAGCCAGGTGCTGGAGAATGGCTCCTCCTAGTAAAGGGTTCGACCATGTTCCTCTGAACTAGTGTTGCTTCGACAGCTGCATCAGGCATTCCTGTGGCAGCCAAGGATCGCATCCAGGAAACCAAGCCAGACAGAACAACTACTGTAAATGGAAAGAGATTTCATTTGATCCCCACCCCAGGACCCTTTTCTAGGCCGTCAGTGAGCCATCAAATAGCTTACAGAGTTGAACGCAGTTGGGTGAGATGGTAAATTAGACCCAGACTTATTTGCAAAGCAGACGATCAGCAGGTCTGGCTTTGCTGACCATGGCAGCATCTAGAGAAAACAGCACCTTCTCACCTTCTGCCAGGAGGCGAGACAGTATCCCCACAATGCCAGCTGGACATCATGCAGGAGATCTGGACAGCACCATGCCGGGCAGAAGCTTCTCCTGGCCTTCCATTTTTCTACATTTTGTTGTTATACCCTGAAACCAAATTGGCCTGGTTACCACTTGATGTATGCAAGATATTCAACTCTGCAAAGGTGCAAAATGTTGTTCGGCAAAAGAAAACAAAAAACAAACTAGCACTAGTTGCAGTCTGGAGTGTAGCAGCACTGACGGCACTAATTGCAGCCACAGGTCTGCTTGGTTGGGCCCCCATCAGCTTTCATACCTGCCTGCTATGAAGTTTTCCTGTTCTTCCTGGCAAAATTACTTCCAGCTCTGTTAGGTTGGATGGGGACCATGGGTGAACAGCAACTTTCAGGCAGGGCCACAGATTCTCAATAGGGTTGAGGTCTGGGCTATTCTAAGACATTCCGGTTCCTGCTGTTAAACCACCCCAGTGTTGCTTTGGAAGCTTCAAATTGCTATTTTAATTGGGGGTTTATTGTACAGAAGTGATACTGTGCTTTATTTTGTTCTATTGTAAAACCACCCTGAGATTATTTGCTAAGAGGATGGTATAAGGCAAAGGTTTCCCCTGCCTTGACATTAAGTTCAGTCATGTCTGACTCTAGGGGGCGGTGCTCATCTCCGTTTCCTAGCTGAAGGAGCCAGCATTTGTCCACAGACAGCCTCCATGGCCATGTGGCCGGCATGACTAAACACCGAAGTGCACAGAACGCTGTCACCTGCCCACCGAAGGGGTACCTTTCTATCTACTTGCATTTGCATGCTTTCGAACTGCAAGGCTGACAGGAGCTGGGACTGAGCAACAGGAGAAACGCTTTAAACAAACAAACAAACAAATACGTTTAGTGTCCAGTCCCAGGTCACTTGGGAGACTGAAACAGGTTCTCCTCCCAAATTATTTTGCATTTGGCTCCATCCATCTTGCTCTCAGTCTCGGTCAGTCTCCATGTCCCCGGCAAGGAAAAATAACCCACGTGATGCTGACACCACCATGCTTCACTGGGAGGATGGTGTTCTTGGAGCAAGGAGCACTGTTGGCTTTCTACCACACATAATGCTAAGGAAGCAAAGCCTAAAAGTTTAGTTTTGGTCTCGTCAAAGCAAAGCACCTTTTTCTACATGTTTGTTCCATCTCCCACATGATGTTTTGCAAGGGCCAAATGGGCTCTGATACAGGTTTGCCTTGACAATGGCCTCCTTCTTACCACCCTTCCATAAAGCCCAGCTTTGTGGGGCACCTGAGTGATAGTTATCCCATCACAGCCGGCAGCTCTTGCGCGCCTTCAGAATTACCATTGCCCCCAGCTTGCTCGCCTGACTAATGCCCTCCTTAGTTTTGGCAGACAGCCGTTTCTAGGCAGTTGAAGTTGAACCATAGCCTCTCAACTTGGCAATAATGGCTTTAATGATGCTCTGGGGAAGTTCATCGTGCGGAACATCATTTTATAACCAAGCCCTTATTGCTGCTTCTAGACAACTTTATCCCAGAGTAGTTTGAACTGCTTAGTCCCCATGAAGCTGTTTAGATACTCTCTCCAACAAACTCCAGGGCCTTCCAGAAATGGGTGCATTTAATGAGGTCACGTGGCACTAAACTGACACAGGTGGGCGCCATTCAACTTCTGATAGGATGTGATTTCTGAAGGCAGTGTGCTGTACCATGGCTATGCATGTCACAGTAAACACTTGTACGGTATTTACTGTGACATGCACAGAATACTTATGCAAACACAATTGGTAACAATGCCAATTAAATCAATTTCCGTTCCATGTTGTAACACAACAAAATGGTGAAAAGGGTCAAAAGGGAAATACTTTTGCAATGCAGTTTATCTGTTTATGTTTTTCTCCCTCTCTTTGCAAATTTGGCTGGGCAGTGGTAGTGGAAAAGGATGAAATCTTTAACATTTTGGCTCTCCTTATCAAAATCGCACCCCACAGCTGATGGAGAGCTCTTGAACACCAAGGCTAATGCCAAGGTTAGCTGAGGCTGTTTGGGGAACATAAAAAATGCAAACTGGAATGAAGACTCTATCAGAACAGAACCAGGACCAGTGATAGGTTCAGAAGTGTAAGAGACCCACATTCAGGCTCCCACATAGTCCTGAAGCCAAGAGAATTGATTGTGGGAATTAAAGGGGTTCCATTAGTTGAACCCACTGAGAGCATGAGATCAGGTAAAGATGCGTCGCAACCGAATCCTTTGGAAGCACAGAGGAGTGGCTGCTCATGGCCCAGGGCTCCTCCATATGGTGCTTGCCAGCACAGCGCACCCACAGGCGCTGCACGCAAGGCCAGGCTCAGCACCTCCATTTTCTTAGGAGAGGAAAACAGTTCTGTTTGCTGACAACTGGTTGGCTGCGGCAGCAGATGACACACAGTCATCACTCCCCCATCACCTTGTTGCCTCAAGAGTGTTTGAAGGGGGCCTTTATGAAAGTCAGCAGAGCAATTCCTCCATTAACTTACACAAAGGGAAAAACCCTCTCTGGTTCAGTTTTTTTCTTTGTTCAAAGAGGGAGCCCCCCTCCCCTTTTGTTCAGGTTAACCTCTCTGCAACTGGCTGCAGGAGGGCAATCCTCAAGACAGCAGCCTCAGTTTTATTCGCCCTATGCAAATAATTGCAAACATTTTTCTGTTCACTTGCATAGGAAGTGAGGGAAAGAGAGAACACAGAAGAGAGAACAAACCTTGCCTGAACCCAATATAATCTTTCCAAATGGACTATCCGCACTGGAATATGTTAAACACCTCTATAAATTTGATCACCATTTAAAAAAATCATTTTATACCATCTCTGTGAAAAGCAATTACATTTCTTAAAAAAATACAGCACAAATACTTTCCATTATTAAAAAGGTCTCCCAATGTAAAACTGCTGCTGGCTCTTCTCTGAGTGGCTTTGACAATTTACAAAAGGTTTTGTTTACAGAAATCTCCACTAAGGTGGCACACGCTTTCCAGTCTCTGTTGCTGTTGTAGGGGGGTGGGGAGACGGCCCATCATGATGACAGGTGCTATTCTTCCAGCCTAAACTTAGCCAGGAGAGGGAGGTGGTCAGAGGAGTTGGTTTCGTTGGGAAGCCCTTTGACTGCCCACAGATCTTGCTCTGTTACCAGCGCCAATCGGCCAAGAAGATTCAGGCCCCCATCAAATAGGCGGCCGGCTCCTGTAAGGAAAAGCAAAGGTTTTCAGGCGTGTGCTTGTGGGGAAAATCTATGGGCAATTGTGAACAGAGATACTGAATGACAAGGTAATGGTAATCACATCAGAACTGTGAGGGCACCAGGATCTGGTCATATTGGTGGCGTTTTGAAATGAGCGAGTGGGCAATCAGAGTTATGTCTACTGTTCTGTTCAGGCATCCACCTGTCCGAACTCAGGATGAATGTTTTTCTAGTACTTCCAAGTGTTCCCCACATAATCTCTCCGCCTTGCCCGACCTGGTGACCTCCAGCTATATTGCTTTGCAACTCCTGTCATTCATGGCCAATGGATGGGGATGGTGGGAGTTGCAGTCCATCACCTGGAGGGCACAGGTTCCCCAATCCCCAGCAAAGGGCTATGATTTTGCTCTCTTGTAAGAGCGGGACGGGGGAAGGATGCTGAGGCAGAGAAAGCATGGCCTATGGAGGCCACCAGGTGAGTTTGCGGAAGAGGCTGCTCAACCTGCATAATGCATGCAAAGGTGTAAGAAAGATTCTGAGGACCTTCCCTGAAATGGATGAGAATGACATGGCTAGCTTACGCCCACGAATTCATCACTGAGCTTAAAGGGAAAGGCTCCCTCATCTGCGGCACACTCTCTTTGCCAACATACACGCACTGGCAATCCTGATGCATCAGTACAAATAGTCATCAACTCAACATATGGAACGGCAGGTTCTAGGATGCCCAAACAACGCAAAGCATTTCCAGTACCAGCTTCAGCGCTGCCTTGTATGGCAAGAGCAGTCTGAAGGCACATGTTCTGGGGCCCTCTGGTGGTCATATGCTGGAACTGCTCTTGCTGCCTTGAAATGTATGCCCCATTTCCCTGAAAATAAGACCTCACCGGAAAATAAGCCCTAGCATGATTTTTCAGGATGCCCGTAATATAAGCCCTACCCCAAAAATAAGTCCCAGTTAAGATCATCAGTCAGATGGATGCATTTAGCACATCCATTGCAACACAATTTGGGGTTTGGAGAGTTATGACGGAGTTCCAGAATGGTGAGAATGTGGTGAACTGAATGGATAGTTGCCATAGACTTTATCACCTGGCTCTTCAGCCCTCGTGTCTTGTGCTGCAGAGTAGAAGATGTAATCCACAGTGACGGCGCTTCTGGAGTGGCAGGTTGTTACTTCTGGGATGCTGCTATCGGGCAGATAGTGGGAGTAGACTGAAGACAACCGGAAACTGTGGTGCAAATCTGTGGGTAACCTAAAATAAGACGGGCATTTCAGAAGAAGCATCCACATCTGCCACAACACAGGATCACACAGGAAGCCAGGCCCATGCTGGGAAGTTCCTGCTACTGAGCATCCTCACACACTCATTCTGCCACCAGTTCCACTGTTCTGTCTGCTTAACTACCCCCCTCCCCACGCCAAACACACACACACACACACACACACACACACACACACACACTGCAATAGGGGGTGAGAACAGCATTAGTACAGAGGGGTCTGGAACAGGGTGGCCCCATGCCACAGTTGTATGAAGAGGAAGCATGTGTCCTGGCTATTGCTCCTCTGCCATTATTATGACTGTCACAGTTTTATGTCTGTAATATCCAATAACTGAAATGCTTCCGTGAGAATACAACAACCCTGCAGCCCAGAGCAAGCCTAAATGCCTGCTCTCATCTTCTACTGCCCCTGCAAGAAGATCAGAAGCATGTTGCTCATATCTGGATCAAGACAACCTGTGGTTAGTTACAGCTATGGTTCACACAAACAAATCATTTCTGAAACACCGTTAATCTTTCTGGGTTGTTTGGCAAATCCATGGCTAATTCCAAGGATGGTTCCTCCTGGTTCAGCTAGAACACCTGCAGTTATTGAAAGGCAGATACTAATGTTTTCCATCTCCTCATTGTGGCTGTGCTGGAAAATGGGAGGGGAGTACAGCAGCCTAAAGCTCCTGCATGAAATGCTAAATTGTAACTTAGCAAGCATCATGTGTGAACTGGGATCAAGTACCAAATAAGATAATGCATCCTTGTTTGTACAACTATGAGCTGTTGATATCTAGTTAAGATACAAGTTTTAGACCCCAGACTACACAACTTAACCTGGGCGTTTCATGCACTGATGCATGTAAACAAGCTGACAATCACAAACTTGTCAAAAATTACCTTTTTTTAACCATTACCATCTCTTCTGAATTTTCCAAACCTGCTTCTTTGGTCCCTTGTCTCTCTGGGAAAAAAAGGACAGCAATTATAGAAACTGAGAAAACCACCTTGTGAGGTCAGATCAGACTGTCTGCTCCTGTAGCCCAGGATGACCTGTGGTGACTGCAGCCATTGTCCAGCGCCATCCCATCATCTGCATCCCAATCCTTATCATGGGGGATGAACAAGGGACCATCAACAAGTGAAGCTGGTGCTCTTCTATGGTCCCAAGACAATGTCAAAGGATAACAACTTCACACAAAAAGGATTGCATATAGTCACAGATTCAGTAAAAACATAAATAAAATTACATGGATGTTTCTTTTTTCATCCCAGCGAGACAAAATTAAAAATGCGAAGTGAGGGCACATCCCTCCTGCCAATTGGCCTTTTGAAGGCCCTTAGGTTCAGATGTGCGTCCAGCCCTTGTTGCTAGTGCTGCAATCCCCATTGTGCTGTTCTGGACACCTCGCTGGGGAAAGCCTATAGGGCCGAGGACATGAGCCGCGTGGGACTGGAGAGTGTCTGGGCAACTGGAGTCCTGCATTCAACACAGGGAGCCCCGAGGTGTCCGTCTGCTCCAGAAACAATCTGTATGTCTTCATTTTGAGCCACACTAGTCTGCAATAAGTCTTGCTCCACTTCTTTTTGTAGGAAAGGGACAGCAGCTGAATTAAGGCCTAAACACAGGAAGCTCACACTGTTTGTCCAGCAAGACCAGGACTGTCAGTTCCAGCAGCTGCTTTCCAGGATCTCAATAAGAGGTCTTTCGCAGCCTTGAACTTTTAGGGTTAGCAAAACAAAAATTGAACCTGGCACCTTCCATGTGCAAAGCAGGTGCTCTACTGCTGAGCTATGGACAATTGCCTGCACAGAGTAACAGAGGGGATGATAGCACTGCTGTTTCTCCACTCAGCTCAAAACTGACAAGCTTGGAAACAGCTGGGAATTATGTCCTCAGCTAGTTCTGATTAATTTTTAAGGCCCTTCTTGACGACCAAGGAGTTCCCCATGATTTCTACATCTGTAGGTCTCGTCCTCCTCCTCCCCTAGCAAACACCAACGTTTCTCCAAAGGAAGTCATGTGTTCTGGAAACCACTCTGTTTACCAGAGCATATAGTTACCTCTCTCTCTTTCTAGCTGCTTCTGCTGCTCCTCGTACATGCAGTCCTGAGAAATGCCAAGGCTTTGAGGCCATATGGGGATGGTGAGTATCCTATTGCCCCGTGGGGACTGCTCCTGGCCAGACACCTACAAGTGCAGAAAGCAAGCACTGTGACACTCAGCCCGTGGGATGCCTTCCTGGTAGAAAGAAAGCACGAGCCAGCGACGCCGACATACTTCAGATACACACTCCGAAGGCTTTGTGTGCCTCAGTGGTTGGTTTTAAAAATGCAGCATTAAATATTGCATTATTTTGATATTTTTATCCTTGCTATCGGTGTTTGGTTTGATTATTTTGTTGCCCTTGCTGCTGTTTTAGTTTTATGACTGCAATATGGGTAAACCTGCTTTCCTTTTGGGGCTACTACAGTTCTCTTAGAAGCAAAAATGGCAGAACTTAAGGAGTCGTACTTCAGGCACACCATGAGAAGGCAAGGCTCCCTGCGGAAGGCAAGCATGCTATGGAAGGTTGAAGGAAGGAGGGAAGACTGACCAAATGGGATGGGTTGACTCCATAAAGGAAGCCACAGCCTCAAATTTACAAGGGCTGAGCAGGGCTGTCAAGGTCAGGCCATTTTGCAAGGCTTCATTCATAGGGTGGCCGTAAGTTGGAGATGCCTTGATGGCACATAACAGACTTAACTAGAATTCTTGTTTTGATGCTTCAGGAAGTTCTAATTTATGCATCCTTTCTCTTGAGCAGTGCTTGATCTCAGCTCTTCTTCACTGAGAAAAGCTAAGATAAATGTACATTGAACTAAAGCTTCCATAATTCTAAGCCAGGAGGACCAGGTTGGGGAAGGTTGCCTAACCTGCTCTCCTCAGTTGCCATATGGAGTCCTTGGGGAATGCAGTTTTGTGAGGGTGTTGTGAATCCCATTACAGAGCTTAGGAAAGATGGGATGATGGCCCAGCCTGCTTCCAGCTGGAGTGTGGAAGGCGCCTCAGCAATTAACCAGTCCCCTTCATGGATCCCAACTAGCACATTTCTCCCTAGTACTTTTAGTTCGCTCCACTCTCCTAATGATGCCGGCTGTTGCACTCGGCTGCCTCCCCCATGGCCGGAAGAACATGGGAGGGGTGCCAGGTGCTGCCAGGGCTGGCTGAGCACGTGCACAGCTGTGATGCACGATGGGAGCAGCGTGAGCTGATGTAGCCCCTCGTGTTACTTCACAGCGTAGGGGCTGGGATTGCCTGAACCTCCCTGCCATGTCACCATAAATTCTGCGCCCTACAGGGGATGCACTATAGCCAGTATGAATCCTACTTAAGAGCAGATCCAGTAAAAGGAAAGGGGCTGAGGCTAAACTAACACTGGGTATAACACATACTACTCTTTTTTGGCATTACAGACCAGTACACTGAATCGCACGGCACTGAGCTCCTTGTCACCTCTAAATTATGGTGTGTATCCTAGCCTATCTTTCCTCCGGGGAGCTCAGGATGGCTAACAAAAGGCTACAACGGAGCTCAGGTCGCTGCAGCCCAATCCTGCTGCGCAGCATTGTGGCTTTCACGGGTTGCACCTCCGAAGAGAACGCTTCCCACGCTGCCGCAAAGTTCTTATGAGTTTGCCATGCAAGTCCTGCACACTGCAAAGGACTGGAGGGCGGCTCTAGGGAACAGACACTGTGCGCTGGACAAACCTGTGGACTTCACTCATGGCCCCATGACGACTGCAAGCGGGGCTCCGAAGAAATCTAGCGCTCCTGGACTGCAGCATGGTGTAAAATGTGAATGGCTGTGGCCAGCTATTTTTCAAGGAAGCTTGTCTGCCACTACCCATAAAACTTTCCCGGAACACATTTCGGTAACCATTGCTGCACACCCCATCCTATGTGTACCAAAAAGCACATTTCAGGCTGACTCATGCTGCGATTCAAGTTACTCTACATGTGCTAGGGCCACATAAATTTGTCTGGACATTAGCTGCAGAAATGGGTACCTACTTTCCCTATCGCCAGTCCTTCGTAATTCAGCTTTCCTTCCCTTAAGAAGTTGTACAGTGGAGAGTGGGGGACAGAATTGAAGTCGCCACAGAGGATAAGGGGAGAGAAGCGCCCATCTTCCCGAAGAGCGACGTTGGTCACTTCTGCCAGCAGCATGGCGAGCTGGGTGAGTTTAATGTCTCCGCGTCTCGGATTGTACAGAAGATGTGTATTGGCCACACAGACGGTGCTGGCGGCCTTGCAGGAAAACTGAGGCTGCAGGAGCAAGACCAGGCCCACATTATCCCTGTCCAGGAGCGGGATGTTGCGACGGAAGAACTCCACTGGGTTGGATGAGAGCAGATTGAACTTGGAGGACTTGAAGCACGTGGCACAGCCATCTGGCTTCCTTCCTGTCCTCATCTTGTACTCACAATGATAACCTGTAAAAAAATAAAAAGGGGATGAATGCACTGGATAGATTGGAACAACTGCAGCTCATTGTTCCTTATTTTTCTTGAACCATGCAATATTCTGGCTTCCCAAGAGCAATGGTTAATTCCCTTCCATTTTCAGCTCAAGAGAAATATTTCACAGTTATATATGAATAAGGAAATGTTAACATCTACCTGTTGTCATCGACAAACAGGCATAATATTTTGCTGACCACATTTTCCCTTGAAAATAAAGATATGATATTACCTTCCAACAGTCAAGATGCAAATAACTTAGATAAATCAGATGCTCTCCAACCATGCTGAACAGACAGACAGTGCATGGGGGGCTGGTGAATGGGCTGCAGAATGGGAAGCACGGACACGGAAGTACAGCTCCACCTGTAGCACCCTTCCACTGGCAGAATGACAACGCTGGATCCACCTCCATGTTTAATGCACACACACTGGCCTACAGACCAACCTTCAACAGCCTTATGCCCTCCTGAAGTTTTGGTCACAGCTCCCATCGGTTCTCGCTAGTTGGCATGGCCAATGGAAAGATGGGAGTTGGAGTCCAAAACATCTGGAAGGCAACAGGTTGGGGCAGATGGATCTATTAAATAAAAAAGTGCTTGAGTGGCACAGCAAAGCCCTCCTGATGCTTGTGCCCTGCCCTTCCCTTTTCCAAGGAAAATAGCTGCCAGCAGCGAAGTATGAGAACAAAGGTTGGGGAGGAACATTTCATGCACCCAGTTTGAAGGAAAAAGTACCTCCTTACTTCTGATTTAGAACCTGACCAGATAGCAGACATTGTTTAAGAAAACACATGCATGCCTGGTTTGGCTCTGTTCAAACATTATAACCTAATTTAAATATCCACATATATTACAGACATGTTATACCTAAGGCTTCCAAACTTGGCTTGATCTCTATTCCATACTGGTCTTCCTGTACCTCTTGCAAACAAAGTATCTGTGGGGAGAGAGGAAACAGCTGATCCAGAACAGCCAAATCTATACCACTTCCTAACATTACCTTGCTGACTTAAGCTAAGAATTGGTCTGTAATTTTAAACATTTTTTCTGTAAGAAAAAAGATACTGTAATAGAACATTATGACTGGTTTGGTAGCATAAGAAACTGTATATAAGTCAATAGTTCAGCATGGCCAAGTCTCACTGATTTCAGTAGCGCTCACAGTGAAATCAGTGAGGGTGCAAACCCTTAAGAGCACAAACCCTTTGCCCGTTTACATGGATGCCTCATAGTATTCAATGCAGCCTCTTTCTAGCTAAGTGTGCATAAAGCTGCAGCTTCAGGCTCAGCAGGGTACCTCTGGCCCTCCAGATGTTGGGTTTTAACTCCCATCAGCCCCAGTCAATATGGCCAAGGCTTGAGGCTGATAAGAATTGCAGACTAGCACCACCTGATGGGTCACAGGTTCCCCCACTCCAGTCATACACATGGATTTGTAAATATTCTCCTCTGAAAGAGACTTACTTCTGTGTCTCCATGCATACGATTGTGCTTTAACAAAACAACCCGCAGGCCCCACCAAGGCAGGGTTTGTTAAGGTATTAGAGTAAATGGAGAGTGTGGCACCTCCTTAGCTAAGAATGCAATGCATGGAATGAGAAGGGCTCACTTAGGGACTGTAAAAGTGGTATCCTGATTCATTTGTGGCAGTTGTGGGCTGCCTGTCCACTTACATCAGCATCCAGTTCCTTGATGTCATTGAGAATGTTAGGAAAGCGATAGTTCCAAGCTAGTATATGCCGCCGGCAGTGTTTATACAGGTGAGAGTTGTCTTCTAACAGGTCCTGGGAAAGGATGTTGTATGACATCACAGTGAAATCAAACTTCCCATTTGTCTCTGTGCTGTCCTGGCTGATCTGTTCCTCATCTTTGAGGATCTTCATTTTTTTACTTTGTTGACAAAAATATTCCCAGTGTCTTTTGATTGAACCTGATGAAACACAACCATGGGTGCAGGGATGTTTGCATGAAAAGCTCAAGTTAAAACAGATGTCTGTAGTGGACAGGTTAGAAAAGCTTTTAATAAAATAAACAAACAAATAAAACAATACAGCTGGAAAGGACCTCAGAAATCACCTCTGCTCAGTGAAGGCCTTGGCCTGCAGGGTTCAGCTACAGCATCCCTGACAACTGGCCATCCAGTCTCTGCTCAGATACATCCCTCAAAGAAGAACCACACCTGCTGGGCAGCGTGTTCCACTCCTGAACATCTCTCACCCTTAGGACACGTCTCCTAATGTTAAGCCAAAATCTGCTTCCATGAAATGTCTACCTGTCGGTTCTAGGCCTGCCCTCAGGAGCAGCACAGCACAAGTTTGCTCCATTCTCAGCATGATAACTCTTCCAATATTTGAAGACGGTCATCACATCTTTCATTAATCTCTTCTTCTCCAGGCTAAATATACCCAGCTAGGAACTATGAATTCCTGCAGGATAACACAGCATATACTCACAGACACTCAGAAATAAGGTGCACTCTTGAGAATATTTTTGTTTGTGCAAATATGGCATTTGCTGTGAGCAGGTCTTTCCCTCCCTCTTCTCTAGCAGACAAATATGAGCCTTAGGTTTTAACAAAAAAGCAGTGTTTCTAAATAGGTTACAAAATAGTATAAAGCAAAGTAGCGTTCTTGTGATGTGGGAGAAGCATCTGCCCATGTGAAGAGCTGAATCCAAACTGAAACCTCTCCCTTCAGATAGAGTCTGCCTCCATCCTCAAGGGGCTCCTCCTGCTTGAGGACTAGATGGTAGGAACATTAGACACTGCTAAATTGGTCTGCTCATTTCACCTGCCATCTCCTGACAGCATCAAGGAACTCCCTCCCCATCTCCTCCTCACCGCAGCTCTGCAATGTTTCCCTTCTTTTCCTAAGTTGACTGGTTCTCACACTTTTGAGAATCTTCACTCGGTAACCAGGCACTGCCAAGGCACCTATCCCTCCACCTACTTTTCAGAATCAGACAAATCTATCTGAAGAGGCTGTGACGAGAGAGAGCTGGGCTCCCTTTGTACAGTATGTGAGTGAGTGGATTTCAGCATAGCTAGTAAAGCAGAGATGCTAATCCTCTTTCAGACTAAGGATCGCATTCTGTTTCAAAGGAGTTCTCAGGGCTGCATTCCAGTGGTGGGAAAGACCACAGGAAAAAGATGGCAACCAAAAATACCAGCCCACTATAGCTTGCTGTCAGTAGCTAAATAGTAGCAGGGGCATTTCTACCCTTTAGCATGGAAGCTGAAGGAGGGACTGCACAAAAGCCAGAAAGAGGTCTGATCATCTTGGAAGCCTGGATGGGTCACTTTTGACCCCCAGGTTTGCGGTCCCCATTTTTGTAATAAGAAAGAGATTAAAGGGAAATGAACTTACCACATTTTATCCCATCCTTCCTCCAGGAATTCAGAGTCCTTGATCCTGTGAAGTAGGCTAGGCTGACTGGCTCAGGGTCATTCAGTAGCCTTCATGGCGGAGTGGGGATCTGAACCCGGGTCTGCCAAATCCAAGCAAGGCAGCTTGCAGGGCATGGGGTCTGATGCCCTCCTTGATGCAAGATCAACTATAACAGCTTTTTACTTCCTAGCTGAATAACACCCTCTCTAGGAAGAACAAAATATTACAGTAGTAAAGGGTCATCATACCTCTGGGTTTGGGACTTCCTTCTTCTTCACATTTTGTTGGAGGAGGTGAAAGCGTTTCATTTGAAGAAGAGCTGCTTTGTTTTTCAGTAGGACTGCAATTAAAGTCCAGATTCCCACTGTGTCTCCTTCGTTTTAAAGGTGGCTCATCTTCCTCAGATTTCATCTTAGCCGTGCAGAGATGAAAGGAACGGTTTTGTACAAGGTTAGGAAGCTGCCAGTTCCAGAAAAGAGGAAGTCTCCAGCAAACCAGGTAATCCGAAGGATTCAAATGTGGAGAACACATCCAAGGATAGTATTTAACATACTTCATGCACCAAAAAGCTTGGCCACTTTGAAATCTTGAAGCAAGATTCCAGTGGGAAACCCAATCTTTACCCAGCCTCTGTACATGGCGGGATAGCATGGGATATCTAGAAATAAAACCACATTAATGAAGCCCCTTTATAAGAAGAGGATATTTGGAAAAATGCCTAAAGGTTTAATTTGATGGCATGTGCAAAAGGATTAATATGTGCACATTTATTCATACAAAAGAGCTGTATTCAGCCTTTCAGGCACACTGTCCACACAAGGCAGCTTACATTTCGGTAACACAAACGTACAAATTACTATTAAACACATACACAGGAAGTAGCAACAGTTAATAGTTTTCCATCACCAAATAAAGACTGAAACAAATGTTTTTCCATTATTTTAAAGGCATACAGATTTCTTTTAAGAGGAATTTCCAAAGCTGTGGGGCTACTACTGAGAAAAACTCTGTTCCTAGCACATGCCAGCCTAATAGTTCTCTCTGGCGGGGCAGAGAATAGGGCCACTAAAGTCTGGACATGCGCATACTGATGTGGGCTTCAGTTAACATGGTTCCAAACCATTTAGGGCACAGGTGGGCAACTCTGACGGCCCTGAACCCCTTTTTTGCATTCGGTTCCCACAAGGGTCAGGATAGACCACATCATCAGAATTGCTCCCACTGCACTACCGAATTCTGATGGTGTGGCAGCAGCAGCAGCCCCCACAAAGTTTGGCTAAGTGAGCTTCCAGAAGCTGACTTGTCACTGAAATGAGGCGTGTGTTTTTTCTCTGTGTCCTGTTGCAGTGGGGAAAGGCAGCCGTTTTGCTGATACAGCACCAACATTCTGCTGCAGTTTGGCTGAGACAATCTGGGAGATGGCAAAGAGCTGTAAAAGAGGCTAGTGGGGATACATACAGCCCACCTGCTGGCCACCTTTGATTTAGGGCTTTAAAGGTCATAATCAGCACCATGAATTGGGCCTGCAAATAATAATGTTGGCTGCCAGTTATTAAGTTAAATTATACTGCCACTTAGCCGTAAATGGCTCTCAGGGCAGTTTACAAGAGCTAAAATACCAGATACATAGCTCCCAGATGCATCTGTGCTATGGCATTGTGCACCAGTTGTTGTTTCTGAGTTATTTTCAAGGGTAGTCCCACATAGAACATAGGGCAGTAAATTAACTAGACTGTGATCAAGACATGTATCACTGTGGTTAAGTCAGCTGCCAAACACACTTAAACTGTTATATGGAGACTCCGCGTAGGTATCATGGCCAACCCCCCCCCCCCCCCCGTCCATCAGCCCACAACTCTTTCTTTTATCTGTCAGGTAAGCACAGAAGGATTTGTCCTTCTTATCACCCCGACCCTTGGGGCCGGGCTTCCGCCGACCCAGGCCCCTCCGGAGGGGTTCGGCTGTAAGTCCCATCATCCCCAGCAGGGAATGCCGGGAACTACGCTCCGACTCCCCTCGAGGGTGCTGGGCTGGACGAAGGCTGCCTTAGGCCAACGACCCCGCCTGAGCCTGTAGCGTTACCTCCAGGTGGGACAGCGCCCCTCTGCCTCACCAGGCGCCCCTGGCAAGTGCTTTGCTCCCCACACCGACCCCCCAGAGGGGTCATCTCAGAGGGTCGCCGACTGCTTCACCACCGCGTTCAGCCTCAGCTTTCTTCCCGCCGACCCGCACCGATGCAAGCGGGCGAGGGCAGCCGGTAGCACCGCCTACTCAGAAAAGCCCAGTCGTTGCTTGCCGGCGCGTCTCGTTTGGACTACCGCAAGGGATCTTGGGAATTGTAGTTTTTTCCCGCGCGAGTTAATTAGATAACAAGACTATAGACTCTTTAAAAAAAGGTAAAGGTTTCCCCATTACAGTAAGTTCAGTCATGTCTGACTCTTGGGGGCGGTGCTCATCTCCGTTTCCTAGCCAAGGGAGCCAGCGTTTGTCCGCGGACAGTCTCCGTGGTCGTGTGGCCGGCGTGACGAAACACCGAAGTGCACGGAACGCTTCACCTTCCCACCGAAGTGGTACCTTTTTGCTTATTAGCGAAAATTTATTCGACCATTTGTTTTCAAGAAATAACGTTCACAGCTATACTTCCAAAGTTCTGAATTGAATTTCAGCAAGGGAGGTCGAATTCCTCTCCAGCGGAAACCTAAAACGTTGCTTGTTTTAAAACAGTCTAAATCATTTCAAAACTGCAAATCCCGTACACTCCTTGACGTGGGAGTAAGTCCCACTGACTGCAACTAGTCCTATAAACTAGTGCTTCTGAGTTGCCTTCAGTGAACCACGGATATAAATCAATAATTCATGACGGATGTAAGAATAAACTCGGAAGTTTTGCATCTAAAAGTCGTGCTTGTCACTCTAATTTTTCTATATCGATGGATAAGCAATTGCCCACGGGAACCATAATCGAGCGTTAAAAAAATTAAAAAAGCAAGGGAGCCATATTTGGTAAGGGATTTTGATAAGAAACGCAGTCGGCGCCATCCTGGTTCTGGGAGGAAAAGCCATAGAAATAAAACAGGAACGATGGGGAAGGCGCTATTTCCTCCTTCGCTGTGAAGCCAAGACGCGATGCCCCTCGTAGTGCTGTGCGGGTTGCCGGGGAGCGGCAAGAGCCGGCGCGCCGAGGAGCTGAGGGCGGCGCTGGGCCCCGAGAAGGGAGAAGAGCGGCAGGCGTTCGTGGTAGCCGAGGAGGACTTGGCCGGAGATGGCGGCGGCGGCGGCAGGTCAGCCCTGCGGGCGGGGGTCGAGCGGCTGCTGGGCCAGCGGGACGTGGTGATTGTGGACGCGGGCAGCGAGCTGAAGAGCTTCCGCTACGAGCTCTACTGCCTGAGCAAGCACGCGGGGACGCCGCACTGCCTGGTGCTGTGTCCGGGGGGCGCCGCCCGGCCCGACAGGCCGCCCTTGGAGCCGCCGGACTCGCGCAACCGCTGGGACTGGCCCCTCTTCACGGCGCCCCTCGACCCGGACCAGCCGCTGCCGCTGCCCGAGATCCGCGCCGCCCTCTTCGAGCGCCGCCCGCCTCCTCCCAACCAGTCCACGCGTTCGCAGCCCCTGCAGGCCCCCGGCTTCCTCCACCAGCTGGACCGCCTCACCCAGGACGTGCTGGCTGCCCTCATGGCTGCCCAGAGGAATGGCGTCCAGCCGGGGCAGTTCATCCCCGTGGCGGTGGACGGGTTGGGAGCGGGGGGCGGCAGCGAAAAGCCATCGGGGTTGGTGCTGAACAGACCCGTCAGCCTCGCTGAGCTCAGCCGGCTTCGAAGGCAGTTCCTCAGCTACGCCAAGATGCACCCGGGAGAAGGAGAGGAGAATCTGCCCCAGCTGGGTAACATGTTTCTGGACTACCTGAGTCGCAACCTCCAGTGACGGAGCCTGGAAGTCTGAACGTTGGGCTGAGGCACGCTTTTCTTGACCTGAAGTTGCCCCCACAGTGATGGGGTCTGGAGCCTCAACTTTGGTGCTGCCATTAGATCCTCTTTGCTGTCTGAACTTTGGAGGAGTGCAGTGACTGCATCGCTCTTCCGCTGCATAAATTGTGCTGGGAACCCACTTTTTGTACGAAGTGGCACAGAAATACTTCAGATAAACAAGTTTCCATCACACATGTTTGTACTTAAGCAGCCAACTTTATTCTTTGATTTTTGTTCATTGTCTATTACCAGGGAGCTTAGGCAAGTGTGCATGATTCTTGTAGTATCTAGATTAGGCTGAGAAACAGTGAACTTGCCTAGTCAGCCAGTGCTCTATAGCAATATGTTCGTTTTGTTAAAAAAAAATGTGGTGCATTCCTGAACACGCTTAGTAGTTTATTGAACACAGTGGGGCTTATTGCTTTTAAGTAAAAATGCAATGGATAAGTGCTATATGGTGGTTGCTATACCCCCCCAGTATTTGTATGAACTTGTGTGATTATCTTAGTAAGGAGTGGAAGCTGTAAGGTGGGCTCAGGTTTGAGTTGTGGATAAAGACAAATGCAAATAAAGTACTTCACAGTTTAAGGGTATGCTAATATACACTTGAACCTATGGCCATAGCAGGAAACTGATCATTCTTGGCTTTCCTGTTTCTAAAGATAAAATGGATTTATAGCATAGGTACAGATAGCCTCTGCTTATTTTTAATTTCTAAAAAGAAAGCTGTAGGACCTTTTCAAGAGTTCTCGGTCTTTACTAGTTATGTTGACATTTGACTAAATGCTGCTTTTGTTATCTCTCCAGTAGGGCGATTGAAAAAGCTTCAGTTTATTAGGGCTGCTTATAGCTCTTAGGAATTGAGATATCTTATCTTCCTTTTCTTTTAGATTTTAACTTGTTTATTTGAAAACTAAGAATAAGATTTCTCTCTCTGTGTAGGAGAGGTTTGTTATGCTCCCCGAAATACCTCTGCAAGTGCATTTCAGCATAGCCAGTGATAATTCTTGGGCATGTTGCTTATTCTCTAATATCTTCATCAGACCATATTCGACTGTGCCTTTGATGGATCGTATGAATTTCTTCATTACAGGTAGAAACTCACTGTAAGCAACTCTAACACAAAGTGATGGTGTTGTAGGATAAGTTTTCCTGTACACGAATGGACAACTACAACTGCCTGATACTTCATCGATACTTATGCACACAGGATGAGCAGGGCTGGCCCTGAGACATTTGCTACCTGAGGGGGTATTGTTTTTATGCTGCATTTATAGATATGCTATTTGGAAGCTTTTAAAAATATGTATTTTAAAACTGGTTAATTTAAGCTGTGCTGATAACCTATTAGAACTGTAGAATGTAATTTTAAGTAATCCCTTCTTTCACTAAGGAGCAAGGTGATGCTATGCACTGGAATGTTCTATCAACTTAAATCAAAATGAAGTGCTCTGACCTGTTTCACTGAGGCTTGTGCAAAGCCCCTCTTAAGGAATGGCTCATAACAGCAGAAGGCTGTGGGGGTTCTAACATTGGAAGAGCTTCTGAGTTAGCTTATTCAGGTTATCATCCTGTGCAAATTTATTAAGAGTGATCCCATCAAACACAGGTGGCCTTACTTTTGAGTAAACATGGATATGCTTTAAGAATTTTTTTTCCAAACGAACACAAAACCAGATGACACAAGTAAAAGAGTTCTGGTTGTCTAATGAACAGACAACCAACCTTAGATCCATGGTCTTGGGCCATATCAAGTCCTAACTGTCAATGAAACCAGGCAGTATCAATGAAGTTGGAATGTATCCTCTTCAAACAAAATCAGAACTGCCTGGCAACTGTAGTTATCAAGGCAGTGTTGGCTGCCATGCCTAGAACTATTGTTCTGTTGCAGTGATCATGTAACCACAACCCAAAATGAGGGAAATCCCGAAGAGCTGTACACATATGTGTGCATTGCCTAAACCAGCAACAAACCTGTACCAATAACCAAGGAATATCTGCTCTTATGTTCACAGTTAACTTTCAAATGGAAGAACTCTGTGTCTACCTACTGCATAAGCTGAAAAGATGTTGATGTGACATGAGTATGTGCCTTTAAAAAGGAATGGTTAGCTTAATGGCAAATCAATGTATGACAAACCAAGGTTCAGAACATCCTGGGTGGGCTCACATGAAATGGAATCCCACTGTGGTAAATCACCATGGCAGGTAACTGTTAAGCGCCAAGCAGCTACAATGAGCAGAACAGGTGACCAGGCTTGTTGTAGTTGTTTTGCTTCAGACACCACCTCCCTTCTCATTCCTTCTAGTGATGTCCCAGGGGACACTGATGGGACAAATGAGGGTGCTCTTTGACAGCTGTGACCATTCGCCCATTCTAGTTTGCCATGGCTGTCAATCAGTTTGCTGTGCAAACAGAACTCAGAGAGGGAGGTGCGGATTAGGCACCCTTGCCTCCTGCTGCAGAGCAGGAGGCAAGGGCCAGGTACAAGGATGGGCCATCGGTTGGGCAGTGCTGCCAAAGGAGACAGCACCACTCAGCTTATCACTCCTGCCCGAGAGGCTTTCTTGCAAACTGAGCGGGGAGTCGGGCCAGGCAAGGATGCTTGCTTCTTGGTGTGTCCCTGGTCCAGTTGCTCCCCCTGCTGGAGAGAGAGCTGTTCAAGCAGGAGCGGCGATTAGGTTAGACTGGAGCTTACCGAGAATGGAAGGAACATCACTACTTAGTCCACATTTTTCCTTCCCTGTTCTTGCTTGAGCATCTTTCTCAAGCAGGAGTGCATCAGGGTGGGAGCGGCTTGTTCATGCTTGAGATGAAGCCTCACCACATGAGTTGGGGAGTGAGGAACCATCAGTTGGGTAGCCCTGCTGAGAGCTGGGCTCTTGCCAAGAAGTTGTCTTCTTGTGGGGATTTCCCACAGTAGGTTGTGTTATCCAGGTTTGGGTGACACAACAAGCAGTTGTGATAGGAAGAAATCCTAGAGAAAACTTGTTTCTTATGATGCGTGGGTTTGGAAATTGTTGATAATTTATGATTGCTTGTCATGTCATGTGAGCCCAGTCACAGTGTTCTAACAGTCTAAAAATGCACACCCTCAATTATCACGAATTTCTAAGAATGTACTTGCATGCGCAGAGACGTTTTGATAATTACTAAAGTGCCCTAAAAGCTTATTGGATTTGCATTTGAAAGTAGTAGCTTGGTCTTAAATTTACAGTTATATAATCTACCAATTTTAAATGATCCAAAGTAAAATCAGAAACAATTCACTAATCAGTTTTTTGTTAGAGAATTAACTGCTTTTGTTCCCCTTTCGGTAGAGTAATTAGTGTCACTAGAGACTACCCTTTTTTCCCAGAGTCATAATATAAGAAAAAGAAGCACCACTAGTTTAATGTTTCCTGAACTGTTATGCAGGCTGCACAGAGGTAAATGATCTTGATCAAAAAGGTAGGTGTAAATGCATCCAAATCTATACAAATCTATTCAAAACTTTTATTTTTGGACACTTTAACCCCAACATGTAATAACATTTATAAAGTACAACAGATTTAATTTAAACAGTGACATTTAAAGAACAAAACCAAAATTCACCATTCAGGGCACAGGAGTTAGAATTGAATTCTGTGGCCTGAGTTGAGCCAACAGGTATTTACAATACTGCATGTGCTGTAGCATATGTGTAATTGTCACAGACCATTTCTCACATGTAGTTTTCCTTTTGTCTTCAGGGCTTATGATCTATACCAGGGGTCCTCAAACTTTTTCAACAGGGGGCCAGTTGAAAGGCAGCAGTGGCGGGTGGGGGTGCCCATGGGCGTGGGTTGGTGAGGCGGCGGCGGGTGTGCATGGTGAGGCAGCGGCTTGCTCGCTTTCTCTGAGCGACGATCTCCGAATGAGCGAGGCAGCAGTGAGTGTGTGAGCGGCAAAGCGGGCAGCGGCGGGCGCGGGCACGGGGAGTCCAAATCTCTGAGGTGGGCCAGATAAATGGGCATGGGGGGTTGGATCTGGCCCGCAGGCCATAGTTTGAGGACCCATGATCTGTACACACACTATGTGTGTGTATAAATGTATGTGTTCCCACATGAGTGCGTGCGCGCGCGCACACACATTCTGAGAACTTTGAATAACATTTCATGGATCTTATAAAGTGGATTCTGGTTCTCAAAAACCACAGAGTGTGTTGCAGTGCCTTAAATATACTTAAATTTGTTAGTTTTGAAGGTGCCACAAGAGTGCTGTTTTTGCTGCCAGAGTTATTAAATATGCAATCCCATGCGTGTGCAGACAGTAAAAAGTCCTACATCCTCCCATCTCACCCAGCCAGACATTTAGAACTAGGGTATGCTGGAAGCTGTAGGACTTTTTCCCTGTCTAAACATGCATAGGGTTGACATCCAGGGCAGCCTTCTCCAATCTGGTACCTTCCAGATGTGTTGGACTAAAACTTTTATCATCCTCAGCTAGCATGGGTAATGCTGATGGGAGGTTGGAAATGTATTTATTTCTATACTGCCCAATAGTTGAAGTTCTCTGCTTGGTTTACAACACACACACACACACACAGTATAAAATTCAATCAGTATTAAAAGCATAATAAAGTTATCACATGAAAATTTAAAAGCATATAAAATACAATAGCTTATACAAAGTAAATATTAAGACCTGTTTAAGCAGGTAACAAGCCCCTGTAGTAGAGGACTAACATAACCTGGTGCTGAAAAGATGTTAAAGTTGGGTGGGCCACCACTGAAAAGGCCCTTCAGGAAATTTTAATTCAACTCATCTGGCAGGTACCAGGTTGGAGATTATTGTATTAAGATGACACAACTCTTCCTGCCTTTTTCTTGAATTAGAATTCACCCCCTGGTTTAAGGTCTCTCCTGCCCTGACCCTGAAGTTCTCTCATCCATTCTCAGACTTGGGAATTTGGTTAGAGCCTATAATGATAAATAGGTACTCTGCAGGTTGTCTATGCTTTTGAATTGAGAGCAGCCAATAAAAACAAGTTTGGAAGGGTACAACTTGTCACATGATGCAATCTATATACACACTCAGAAAAATACTGTATACTGTCCACAGAGTAGACTCTCAATGTGGCAGGGCATAATTTAATGTGAGAACTGAACTTAAATTAGCCAGTTTTGAATGCATGGGCTTCATCATCATGAAGTACTATTACAGGAATTCTGGGCAAGGACAGAATCCCTTTCCCTTACCATCAGGTAAGTACAGCTGACTTCCCAAATCTCAGGAAGACAGGAGTTCCTGATCTGGGAGCACCACAAGTGGCATTGTGTCCCAGCACTTCTCACATCCCAGATCTAAGTTCTACAGCCCTTCCTAACCTTGAGTGGAGGGAGTATGTTTTGGGCACTTTTAAAAACCAGAGGGACTACCCTGATGTGAAAAGAGAACTAAAACAAATGCATAGAGAATAAATTCACTCAAAGTCTGATACGTGCCAGATGGTACAGTTATTCAGAATAAATTGTACTTGTCCACTGCTTAGGGTATTCTAGAAAGGCAGTGCATCCATTCCATAAATAACATACTTACTCATCACTGCAGGCAAGCCTTGCTTTAAAGGTAAAAAGGCATATAGGCAGGGCTTCCTTTGTGCCAGGATAAGTCTTGGCATTCATTTTCAGTAGTAGGACTTAGGCACGCAGGCAGTAAAAATAGATGTAAAGTGACCCAAGCAGGTGCAGTGTCGATTTCACTCATCACTAAGTAAATAAAACAGCTGATCAGGCACAATGGCTAAGAGTATCTGGGCTATTAAGACCGTGGTTAAAATTGGACTTCTGTCCTGAACTTACTAGGTGGCTTTAGGCATGTCTTTGTCTCTGCCTCTTTTAAAAACAACTCTGATATTTGGGATAATACTGACCTTCCTTACAGGACAGTGTATGTAGAATGCAAAGCACATCAGAAAGTACAGGATTCCTATTCTGTTGTTAGATGGGATTATGATTAAAGCTTCAATTTTATGCAGACTTACCTGGGAGTGAAAGCCATTGAATTCAATGGGACTTTTGATAGTATGGATTTAGCCAATCTGCTGGATCAAAAGGATGGTTTAGGTTAACATTGTGTCTTCTCTGCTCTTTTTCTAGAAACATTAAGCATTGCAGACAGAAGCCTCTTCATCTCGATTCTAAAGAAGTTCACACATAGGGTAACATCCAGAGTTAGTGCTACTTGGACTGTTCCCATTAAAATGTATGGGATTTAAGTTATCCTGTTTCCCAGTGAGACCCTCTCATAGGCAGGGCCTCATTTTACATAAACCTAGGTACCTAAATGCCTAAAAACCCTAAAAACGCAAATATAAATGCCTACCTTCACCCCTCTCCATTTCCACACGTTTACTCTAATTATATTATACCCATTCGGATCTTTCCTACGCATCTGTTGCTAGCCGCCTAGAGATGCCATGGCGAAATAGGCGGCATATAAATGTTTAAATAGATAACTCAATCAAACTACTCCAGTCCTCTGCCGGGTCTTTGAACACGGGCGGAACATCCAGCCGGCGTCCTTCCCCTCCTCCGCTCGCTGCCGGAGGAGGAATCGAGCGTGAGGAACGCTGGGGGCGAGTCCCGCCGGTCGCCCTCGCCTTCGGCTACTGCCGGGTTGCTGCAGCGGATCCCAGCGGAAGGGAGCCGCTGTCGCCGTGGCTGCCGCCTCGCAGCCCGCCGCTTCCGCCCCTGGCTCGGGCCTGACCCGGGAGTGGATCTGACGGCTCGAGGAGGAGGGGGGAGGCGGCGTCGCCGGGGAAGCCGCGGCCTCGATCGGCAGCTCCAACCGGCTCCCGGCCACCGGCCGCTGCCGCCAGGATGCGCTCCTCGCGGGAACGAGGCGGGGACGTGGCCCGATTCTACACGGTCACCGACCCCAAGCGCCATCCCCGCGGATACACCCTGTATAAGGTCACGGCGAGGGTGAGTGCTTCTTGGGAAGGAAGGGAAGCTTGGAGCCGGGCGAGGAGGGAGCATCGTCCTGCGGCAGGCGCGCTTGCCGGGATCAGCTCTCCCCAACCTGCTGCCGCCCATTGGAGTGGCGGTCGGGCAGGGCTGCTCGGTGCCGTGGGTGTGGGGGAGATCAGTGAGGAAGGGAGACGTTTTCGGACTATCAGCCCCCAGAGGAGGGCACTGATCCGTTCCCTCTATTGCATCTGTGCTTCCCCTAAGCTGCCTCGTATAAATGCAGAGCCCAGCCATCCGTGCATCTTCCCGATGGTGAATTTCTAGGGTCTTTCTCCGACCTTTTGGTGCCGGAGATGGCCGAAAATGGATCTGCGTCTTTTTGCATCCCGAACACGTGCTTCGCCACAGAACGAAAGGCCTCCTAGAAGTCTTGAGAAATGTTGGGCGCTTCCCTTCCCCCAAGTTCCGCCTTGGCAGACATCCACTTCTCCACCCTTACCCATCCCAAGTCCGTTGGCAGAGGGTAGGTGGCGACGAGCCTGGGTTTCCTCGACTCCTCCCTGCCCCCTCAGCTCTTCTTCCATAAACGTGTCTCGCTATATAGGATGGAGGGAGAATGATCCCCGCTCTGCCCCCACTGTAGCATTACTTCCGTGGGTAGCAGGGAATGCAGAATTGTCCCCTTCTCAGATCTGTCCTATGAAGAAGGAGCAAAGAAATACCTCTTCTTCATCCCATGTTTCGCCCTGGTGTGTTTCCAGCCGAAAGTGCTGCATTTTATGACTCCCTTCCACTGAGAGGAAAGTTTTGTAGAGATAACATCACCGCCTTTGCGGACTTCCCTGGGGTAAGCCCTATGTGAACCCAGGCGGCTTGATTTCTGAAGGATTACTCATAGGGTCAGCCTCAGGACGGAACTTGGAAGATACTGGATGGCAGCAGTGAGGGGGGGAGGCAATATAGTCGCATTATGTAAGGCTAGAACAGAAGGGATGTACCAAGATCTATCACTGCAGGTACAGAGAACCTAGCGTGGAAGAACAGGGCCAAATTTGCAGCTGGGCCTAGACAGCAAAGGGTAACAGGAGGTTATGATTGGATCCAGGCTTCCATCTCAGAGGTCAAAAGGAGGTTGTGATGGCATTGTGCAGACCGTCTGTCCTTGATCACAGTGCAAGAGAATACTGTGGGTCCTTTCAAATGTTTTATTAAATAAAAGACATGTTTGTTGTAGAAATTCAAACCTAACCCAGATGAAGGCTGAGAAATTCGTAAGATCAGTGATGTCCTGCCCTGCTCTGCCCTTCCTGTTCTACCCTAAAGAACAGGAAATTTATTTTCAGT